ATTAAACTTATTCCTATCAATTAAACGATCGAATTCTTAGCCCCACACGTGCAAAAATCATACCAACTTGAGAAAAAGAGACAGGCCTGAGTTTCCATCCTTGGCTACTTTAGAAATTGTCGGTCATTTTATACGAGACGAATTGTTTTTCACTGGCTATAAAAGAAGCGGGGAAACGGTGGAAGGTACGTAACGATAGTTCGTAAGAAGCCTCGTTTCAACGAGGAGTTGGCCCTTTTCATGGATCAGACTGGTCGGCTCCATCGATGGAAAGGGGATCCTCGTTCCTTGTATATTTCTTTCACGACTGTGGCTTCGAACTTTACCACTGAATCAGCCCTCGGCCGGAAGATGTTCCAATGTTCGCTGATTCTTTCCCAACATCGAATCTCTCGCGATTCTGAGAATTTCGCCGTTGAATAAAGTACATAAAACCGGGAACCGCCATCACGGCGCGATGATTCGACAAAAAAAGATATATCGATTTCGGTTGTACCGGGATAGCTGTTGGATTCCTGTCGAAGGTATCGACGTGGAGTACGTTTCGTAAATAGCTTTATCGCAACACAGATTTACAAACTTTCTTGAGCACTTTGGCGAGTGCTAAAATAGATCTGACCCGAGGCATCGAGAAATACACTTTGAATAAAATTTTTCTGTTTGCCCAATAGTTTTGTAAAAATTGCAAATGAATTTCAAAGAAATCGATATCATATCCATATAAATTAAATATATTCGATTATAAAATGAGAAAATATTGAAATTGGTATCATTTAGAAGTAAAAAAGAATAAATTAAACGTTTAAAATATCGATATTGATTGTCATATATTACGATACGTGTGTTTAATTTTTATTATAGAGAGAAACTGGTTTTCGATTAAACGTAGATTGTACAAATAACGGATGATAAAAAATTTTGAACAGCTCATTTTGAATCGTGCAACACTTGTCCAAATCAATTTTCGCGAAAATCAATATTTGCGAGGGTGTTGAAGCCCAGTTACAGTCAACGTAAAAGCATACAAATGATTGCATTCTATTTGCAAACTAATCTTGTTTTCAAAAAATCTAACATTTCTAATCATTAAATAAAATCACTTACGATAAAATTTATCGAGAATTTGAAGGATTGAATACACGTGCAATTTTTTTAATTAAGATAAACATAACGGAACAAATTTTATTTTAAAAATGATTTTATAACATGAAAGAAATTCAATCGATATTATCAATTATACTCCAAGCAAAATACTTTGTATATAAAAGAAGTAATCAAATAGAATAAATCCCTCTCTGACAGTTTTAAAAATAATCCATCAGAATTTGAGGTCTCCAATATTAGAGACACGCAATTTGTTGAATTCGCACACCTATCTTTTTTACTCTATTATATAATACGATTAATCGAAAGTTTTATTTTGTCCATCAAAAAAAAATTTTAAATCTCATTGTTTGCAAATACTAATATTAACTTTCTACAACGTTTATACTCGATATAATAATTCATCAAAGATGCCGAAATTTCGTCATCAATTTCAAGCGCATAAAAAATTTCACCACCACTAAATCTACGATTTCTTGGTTCTGCCAATATGAACCCTTTCCTTGCCTAACATTTCAGCCAACCAGCGAGCAGAGCCAGTAACCATCCTAGCAATCGAGTCAGCTGGCTCCATGACCACATAAAACGCCACCTATCGTCGGCAGATTGGAAATAATCGGAATAAAGTGATTCCCCGGAATAATAGCTGGGTCCCTCCCTGTCCTGATTCTCGAATATGAGGTAAGAGAAACGAGGCTGCAGGAAGGAAGAGAAGAAGAGAAAAAGGAAGAAAAGGAACGAATCGGGAAATGTCAGTGCACAGAATCACATTGTAGCATCCAGGTCAACAATACATGGATATATACCATTCCGCTATTGGGATAGATAATGGAACGTCGAATAAACAAGTGAGCACACGAAAAAAGTAAGGACTCAGTACTATGATTTTATTTTGCAGCATCATTCGTCATTATACGCGTCTCCTTCTCATTTTTCCTCTGGATAAGATTTCTTTGCATTATTTATTTCGAAATGACTAGCGATTGTTATCTGTAACAAGGGAATATGTATTTTCGTGTTGAGGGTTGTGAATTTTATGAAAGGGAAATTCCACATTTCGAAATTATTGTTCATTTTATAATCAATTATCATCATGAAAATGCGCAGAACGAATAATCAACCATTCTATGCATATTTCCAAGAAACAACATAGTATAAAATAACAGTAATTATAGAAAGAAAATCTATTTTAATAGGCACACACACCAGAAATAATTAACGCAATTACTTTTTTTAAAATGCAAGTACAACAAACTTTAAATTTCCAACATATCGATAAGAATCAATATTCATTGAAAATCACTGTCTTTTAAGAACCAGTTACAATGAACAATAAAGAATAAAAAAAATAAGTGAAAATAATGAAATATTTATAATCTCCAATATTGGAAGAAAGAACAACATTGAATTTCAAAACGACACATAAATTAACACTACAAGTGGATGATAGTACTCCCGATCACAAGTGTCCGCAAGAAGTTGCTGCAACGACGAGTACTTATATATATATATATATATACCCATCTTACTTCACTCTTGGATTAAGTGTTATATTCAGAAGAAGAGTCGGTTCTCGGATATTATTAATGCGGTAAATTACTCAGCGAGTTCCGTTGCGTCTTCGACTCCCTTCTTTTCGCGATATTCACTATTTCCTCGCGCATCTTTCTCTCGAGGGGGTGAAGCATAAATTTATAGCCGCGCGAAAGGCGCGTTGGGGGAGGAGGGTGGGTGGAACACCTCCCCTCGTTTCGCATAATATCTGTAGGAAGTGAGGGCGTGTAAACCGGCGCGTTGCTCATCGCTCAAACGATGACAAGTGATGCTGACTGATGTTCGCCGCCTCCAATCGCCTCCTCTTCCTTCTGGCGCCCGACGCCCTCGATGCTCGCGAGAGGAAACGGCCTCTTAATGGAGCGTGCCGTGGAAAAGGCGCTCAGATCCAGTGCAAAGCGTAAACGCGACATCATTTTAAGCATGTGCACGCGTTTCCGCTTTAAAGGGGAGAACGCTTTGACCCGTGTGGAGCCTCGAACGAGGTATACGTATCATCTTAGGTCTTGAAATTGAATAGGGTGGGTTTTAATTGGAACGATATTTTGTTTTTCTAACCGAAATTAGAAAAAGATTGTATACTTTTTAACAATGTTTATTGTTGTTGTGATGCATTCTTTTTCTCCGGTGTATTGCACGTAGACGAAGTGATTTTCTTTTTAAATGGAAGAATCTTAATGCTAAATCTTTTTAAGAATATTGTTATCTTTTATAAAATGACACGAGCAATTAATTTATGTAAAAAATTGTATATAAAAAATTAGCCACTTGTGCATATTTGAGGAAAAAATTGCTCGTCGAATATTACAAAATTCTTTTGTAATAATTTTTTGTTTAATTTTATATATTGCAATATGTGCCTCAGTTATTGATTGTATCCCATATATGAATTTTAATATTTTATAGGTTCATAAAAAAGTATTTAATAAGGCTTAAAACAAATCCGATCGACATATATATTTGCATTCATATTTGACAGAAATATTAATAACGGAACTATTTCGAAAAAATCGTCGGCAACAAAATTTTGAAAAAAATTGAAGCGTTCCCAATAAAATAGTTTGTGCATCGTTTGAAAATAAATGAATGAAATAGAATCGTCCCTATTTCTGGAATTCTTTACAGCGTGCATTACAAAAAAAAAAAAAAAAGAAAAAAGTATAGATCCGTTTCTAACGATCGAAAAGCCAGAACGATAGTTTTATTTCATACTTTCTAGTGATCAGAGAATTGTAAAAGTGGATTGCTGCAAGGCAACAGGTTCACTGAATAAATGACCTAACTTTTTTTTTCAAATAGTTTGTGTTGATAAAAAAAAAGAAAAAAAAACGTACATAACGTATGGAAATGGGTGGGGCATACTGTTACATCCACGATTGAAAAGCTAGCCTCATCGGGTCAAAGGTTCAAAAGATATGAGCATTCATTCTATCGTGTCGCTACACTTGAAATATTGTATTTTTTTTTTCTCGGAAAATTCAAATTCAACAAAACTTCAAGTTTACCACCAATAAATATTAATAAATAATAATAAATATAATAAATATATCATTGATATATCATTGATGTTACAGACAGGATACGTCAAAAGTATAACTTGGAGATTCTTGGAGATAACTTGAAGTAATTTCGAGCAATAGTTTTTCTTTTGCAAAAATTTTCGTTAAAGTTTTGTTAATAAAAAAATAATATTTATAAATAATATTTTTATAAATAATAACGTTGGCAATTTGTGATATTTAATTTAAAATTTAATTTTAAATTTTGTAAAGTTATTAATAACATATTAATAAATGTAATAATATTATTTGAAAAGTATTTATAATTAAATATAATTATAACATTCATTTGTAAAAGTGAAATTAATGTCAACGTAATAATTATTTTGTTTTCCGTTTTAATTATAAACTAGCAATTATTCATATAAAATATTAAATAAATCATTTTCACATGCTCTATCCTTAAATATTGTTGATTTCATTTTGTATTATTATATAATTTCTCGTTAATTAAATCTTCTTTATAATAAATTAAATTGTGTAATAATTTTCATATACAGAGTAATATCTTTTGATTCATTAATGCATACATATATTATAATCGCAATTAGTAAAATTTATAATCACTTATACTTTCCGGTCAATGAATTAATATACAAATTATTCGAAAAATTTTAATGCAATACGATAGTTTAAGTTTAATAATATCGAATTAATTATCTCGTGTATTTCCAAAACATATGTACATTTTAATTAATTGATATCCACGATTATAAATCAAAATAAAATATTTTAGCATTTTCGTGATTTCCTATAATTATTATATTAAGATTAACAAACATGGTACTTCATCACTTTCTTTCGAATTAACATCATTCAACGATTATGTTATTGCTTTTTGTTTGAAATGAATTCAATCCATTCAACGAATCGCTCTGCGTTATTCGAGAAACTTTCGAGCAAGATAAACCAAACGCATAGCGCGATATGCTATTTACGGAACTGCTTGCCCGTGTAAAAGTATATCGTTTTTTACCGTGATATCCGGGCTGAATCTCGAAATCGGTTCCAACGAATGCTCCGTGAAAATGATTAATGTCCTCAAAAATGAAGAATGTAATAGTTCGCCGCTTATCCTCGAATCGTTTTATCTCGTTAACGGTAGGCAACAAAGTTTCTGATGAAACGTTTCAAAATGAAATTCCGTTTGTTCCACTCTTTTTGTTGAAAAAGAACGAATAAAGTTACGGCAAACGCCGTAGTTCTCAACGGAATACGATAAATTTTAACGGCAACGGCTTTTAATGCTATATTAAAATTATCCTTGCATGTTAATATCACAAAACTTTAATTCAAATTTAATTTATGAATATATTAGGAATAAAAATTTTATGTTTCGTTTAACAAGTTAATATTTGACAAGGGTTGAATGGAAAATTAATGAAAATATACATAAAAAATAATTATAAAAACGAAAAATACGAAATCAATAATTTGAATCAGTTTAATAAATTTAGTCTTGGATTTTCAACACTTTGAAATATAACAGAACTATTAATATTCCCAATAATTTATTACTACGAATTTAAAAATACATATTACCATTGAAAATAAAAAATCTAAGCTTTGAATAATTCTGAAAATATCAAAAGAAATCTATTTCGATCTCCCGTAGTTCAAGCAAGTAATCTTCAAATCCAACGAACAGCAGTTTACAAAAGTCTTCAATATCGTAGCCCTCTTTTTTACGATTTACGAACCATTAATAACAAATCTTTATATTCTAGTTTATACAACAACGAACCGTTACATCGAAGAAAAGTTGTTTATTCTTTCCTCGTTTCCACATTAATCAGATTATTATCTTTCGTCCAAAAACTCTGTCACGTATAGATACATTACATTCGAGCATATAAATTAATCTGGAAAGCTGGAAATCATGGGCATGTGTCAAAATTCTAGGAAGTCAAGGTGAACACGTCCCAGGGGGGAAAAATTTGCCGAACAAAAGCACGTAACTCGTGGAAAAATTCGCGTATGAATCAGAATCAGTGAAAAAAGCACGATGATACGCTCAAGAATCCCACCCGATTTTCTCTTACTGGCCCGTTCACCGATTCACAATATTGGAATTCAGCTCTGTTTGCCGGTGTTATGTATTTGCAGTGCGTAATTCGTTTCACGCCGTCCTCAAAAGCTTCGCGTCGTATAAATTAAATTTTCGAATCGCGATACCTTGCAAACGATCGATCTGTGTCCTCCTGTGTACTCCTCGTCCCGCCTCTAAGAACGTGTCAAATTAATTTTAGTACCGAATCACCTTCGTTTTATGTGCGTTTGTTGACGTTGTATTAAGGAGTAAAGGATAGGAGGCGATTGGAGAGAAGAGGATAAGAAGATGGAAATTAATTTAGTTTATTAGAAGTTCAATTCTGTGAAATGAAGTTATTTCCCTTGCTAATTGTTGATTTAATTTCTCCGTCATTTAACCTCTTTCTTTAGTGTTTTCTTCTTTCTGCCTCTTTACGGAATAAATGAGTGAAACGTGTAGAAAAAAAAAATTAGGAATTAAAAATATTATGAAACGTGAGTTTGTTGTTAATTAAGGAATTTCAATGCTATTTTACGTTAATAAAATAATTAGTTTCGTGTCATTTGATAATTTAATAATAGTACATGTGATTTTAAACAAGTGCATCAAAATTGTGAAAAATATAAAATAAGAATAAAAATAAAAATGTCTGATCAATTAAAAGACAATACAATCCTTCGTTTTAATATCATGTTTTAATTATTTCATAACGATATTACGTTTCAATAATTGATTTCAATAAATATATTAATCAAGTTTCTTTTGATTCCTCGTCTCTTGCAGAATAAAATTATAATTAAGTTAATATACGAATTTTACAACCTGATTTTATCTTCATCTTTAAAGTTGCAAATACAATACGTACATATTTTCCATATAAGAATATCTTCAACTGGCAAGTGTTTATTCTATTGAATGATGAAACAAAAGATTTCACCTTTGATCAATAACAATAGAACACAATTACTCTATCTTTTCCTTGTGTGTATTCGAGCGAATACTTATCAGAGAATTATATTCATCAAAGAGATATTTCATAAAATTTTCATAATTATAATTCTCTAATTATCTGTTTGTCCGTTGTTTCAGGTACTTCGATATATCGTAAAATTGCACTCGTATAAATGGAGAAAGAAACAATATCGATGAAAAGCATTCAATGGTTAAAACCAGATTTCCGCTATCGTGATATTGGTTCTATCGCTATCTATCGCTTTAAAGCTAAGCTATTATTATCGGATAACGTTGTACGTGAAACCAACCGATAGATTATTTTTGAGAATCACAATTGCTACGAAACGTGTAGAATATTATTATTTTCCAATTATAATATCAATACGATATATTATCATTTTCCTATCTAACGAAATATTTTAAATCGAATAAATTTTAAATAACATTGTACAAAATTTTGTATCGATAATTCAATATCTCTTAAAAATTTACGAAAGTAGAAAACTAGTTCACTACGTATTACAGTTTTCTCCTCTAAGCTTCTTCGAGAGTTTAGAAAGAACATTTAGCATTTAAAGAAATAATTCTCAAGATACCAACTCTTAAATACAAAACTTCTAAAAATACGCAACAATAAGTCACACTTTTTTCTAAACACAATAAACAATGAATCAATCTCGCAGATAAAAAATTCCTTAAACAATTAAACATCCTTGTAAAAGGATGTTATTAATCGTCTCCTTTTTTTCCCACTCTTGTGTATATACACCTACATCCGTCATCAGATTTATCCGCTCCACTTCTTTTTCCTTTCTCTCACTCTCTCTCTCTCTTCCTCTTCGCGACACTGCGATTAATACTCCGTAAAAACCGTGCCGGAAACGTATCGAATCACTCGACCAACGACTACAACCACCGTTTCTACTCCATTGTCGCGCGTCGAATAATTAATAACGAGCGGAAATATGTTACGATCGAGGGCCGGCTGGAAGAGAAATACAGGTAAATCGGTGTCGCGTGGCTTGATAAAACCAGGATTGTTTTATATCGTACGTAAGCCCTCTCGGCCGAGCCGAACGTCGATCGTTAAACGGATTATTTAACGTATATACAGCCATGAATTTGCCCGCTTATGCGGCTGCGGTTCCCGTACGTATTATAGCCTCAACGAACGTGACCCTCCTCCATTCCACCCTCCCCTCCCCCCTCCAATTACCGTAATCGATGTTTAACGTTTATTGCCGAACTGTGTGTATTCGACTTTTGATGTCCATAAACAGAATCATGGATATTTGATTAAGATTTGGTTGTTGATCAATCAAGGCGACTGACGAATTTTGAGAATATTTTTAAAATGTTTCGTGAAAATGTGGAACATTTGTGGATGGAGGATGGATTCGTCGAAACGATGAGAAAAGTTATAATATACGTTAAGTATGTCCGTTGAGGCTTGGCTAAGTAGTTGGAAGCATTTTAAGCGTTTCAGAATGCGAGGGAGATTTGGAAGAAGTCTCGCTCTATGTTTCTATGTTTCGCTTCGTCTGATGGAATTCGAAAATACGATGGATGCGAATTTAAGAGATTTATTATTTATTTTGAATTTCTTCTCTATAAAAATTGGATAATTAATTCGAATCGTCTAATTTCGAGTATCGTCTTCACACGACTCATTTATCAAAGGAAAGAATAGTTCTTCCAGAGATTCGAACTAATTCTCATTAGTGGTGTGTTTAATCGCATAAAAAACGCATTAAACAAAGCGAGAGGTTTTGGTTTCCATTTGCTTATTAAATGCTTTTTATTAATTCATTAAAAGCGTTAATCAAGTAGTAGTATTCCATTTAATCAATGGAATTAAATATAAATTAGATATAGACGAGATGAAAATAGAAGATTATACAGGGAAAATTTTTAATGAAATTAGAATAATTCTACCATAAAACATTCATATTCATAACTAGTTTTTTCGTCAAACTTGGAAAAGGTAGAATTTTTCGTAATATTTTATTATTCTTTTTCATATTAGAACTCTCTTTTTCATACTCTTGTTCAATGTATATTTGATTCTTTATCCTTCTAAAATACGTAAGTTTACGCGTGACTAGCTACTTTGCTAAGGAACCAACGTTTCGACGAGACATCGTCAGAAGGAATAAATAATTCTGAGGAACGAGGTAAAACGTCACGGTAAATGCAAAGATCGATCGGGCTTATGGCGTACTTTGCGACGGGAGCCATTTCGAGTTTACTGCCGACTGAGCGTCCGTACGATTTACTCCGATTCTATTTGCGATATTACAAAGACGAATTTCATTGGGTCTTTGATGTCCAAGAAAAATTACCTCAAGGATGAATCATCGTTCTCAAATTTAAATAAAAATCATTTCAAGATATATATATTTTTAAATATGAATCAAAAACTACGGAATGAGCAAATACAATTTTCTATGAAAAATTGATATTAAAAATATCAATTTAATACTTATCGTTTATAGAATTAATAAACACGAAATTAGCTCATTTATTCTCTTATCAAATTTGTTGCTTCTCGAGGATTACAATTTATTAATAATTCACTTGTGCTTTCTTCCTCCCATTTCAAATTATTCCCAATATTTTATATTACATTATAATTTTCAATCCAATTTTTATCCAATTAAAGCTTTAAACAAAAGTATCTTTACTTATCAACGACTGAATACCCGAGTGATTTCACTTACCAAAATCAATACCCGAAAAATATATTTTCACTGTGATGGCAAGGAACAATAAATAAAATAATCGAGAGGGTTGATGTGAGACAGTTTTCACGGTTGGGTGAAGCTGATGCAGAACGAATACACCGCGAGTGGATGCATCTTGAAGAGATGCCGATCCCGAGAAAGGACACAGCCAGGGTTCAGCAGCCAGAAGCCAGCTGAATTGGAGGTGAGCGAAACGGAGAATCGAGTCTCGATGCAGAGACAGCGTAAACCATCGGTCTTGCCGCGGTTTTCCAAGATCCTCGAGTTTATCTCGGGGAGTTTATCTTGAGGAACGGCAGGCAAGTGATCTAAGTTTCATCCGGCCCGTCACGACTCGGGGCTATTCGGCTGTTGGTTATCTTTCAGTGGTGTCAAGAGCCTTGCGCCCAACGCGGCCCTCGATAACGCCCTTTTCGCGTAGTTACACGCCAATCTATCACGTTACCAAAAACCTACTTTGTAGGTAACCGTGCATAATGCTCGTGTGCGAAGCACGTTATTGAACTTGTACGCCGTTGAGCAGAGGGAGGTAGGTATGCTACAAGTACATGGTTCGTTGTCGAGGAAAGACATTTGGTTACGTGAATTTTAGAAGATGTGATTAAGGATAAATTGATCGATTGATATTGGGGGGATAGAGTGTGTTCGAAGGGTGAATAGGAGAGAGGAGGATGATCTGGTTTAAGTTTTAGTATAATTTTTTTGTTTTGTTTAAGGACCAGAGATGGATGGAATTATGTTGATTTGTTTAGAGAATTTTTATGAGAATAAAAATTGACAGAAGTTACTTTTTCCTTGGGATATTTTATTTTGCATATTGCGTGGATTAAATTTTCTATAAATTGGTAAACTTTCTTTAAAGCGGATTGGATTATTCATCGTTATAATTTATTCGATATTGTAATGATTTAAAATTCTATGCAAGTTCTCCAATTATTTAGTAGGAAAGAAATTATTATTTCGCGTTGACACAAACGAGTTGTCAATTTTTCGAGTATAACACAATTTTTAATGTAATACACGTTCTTTGAACTTTCCCTCTTTTGTCTATTCGCAGATAGACAAATTTTAGATTTGTATATTTATGTACACTGTTTGCCTTCTGTTATCAAAGCATACAACAACAAAGAGAGTCGGAATATATTTGGAATCGTGTTTGGAATTGTAGAGTAAACGCAACACAAGAAAGCTAAACCGTTAATATCCAAAGTAATATTCAAAGAAGTATATTTAAAATCCAAAGATATTCTAGATATCCTTCTTTAATCAATATTAAACATGTTTCTTTGAATGTCACCTTTGATAGATTGGCCAAACATTAAAGAGCAATATTTGCATGCCATGTTTCACTTATCCACTTATTTTTTATCTACACTTAAAAACTTACTTAAAAACTCGTTTCAAAGCTCGAAACAAAGTAAAATTTAAAACTTTCTGGCGTGTGCAGAATCAAAAATAAGAAGAAGAAGAAGAAGGTAAGAACGATACATTGTAACAGCGGCCGATTGTAAAATGCCGAGAAGGTGTCCGATGGGCTGCCATTGCGAACGAATGGGCAGAGCGGAACGTCAGAGTATAAAGGGTTAAATTTGCTTTCTTCGGCACGACCGATTCGAAGGCATCGACCCCGTTAGACCCCCTCGAGTTATTAGTTATCAGCCGTTTCCCACGGCGTTGTCAATGTTCCCTCTCGTCCAGGAGCGGGTTATTGATCGGCCGTTCCGAAGATTCCTGGCACCGTGGCGGGTCACTTCTGTTAGACTGCTCGTCCAGCAGGAAACGGAGTGGTAGTTATCCCCGGAAAAGAAGATCGGCCAACGAACTTATCGATTGTACTTCCCGACTCTGTACAGCCGTCTGCTGACTGATTGCACACCGGATCAAAGGTACTCCAGGCCTAGCGATCCTCGTCGAATCAGACACTTTCTTTATCCCCCCTTTCTTCTATCCCCTATGGATAATAACTGTCCGGGTAAGCGAGGAACAACCTTGAACAATTCTTTTAATCACGTCGATTCGAGTAATTATGAACGATTATTAATTCAATTAATATCAATCCACTATTGCCAACACTGTTTTGAGGAAGGAAATGCCACGGTTTCGTGTGGAATAAAATTGTTTGAGAAGGGATATTCTAAAATTGTTGTAAAATCGGAGGAAATGTTTCGTATGGAATAAAATTGGCCTACAATTCAATGGAAGATACAGTAAAATTTTGTGTTTATAGTTTTCCAAGGGATGTGTTTTAAAGCCAACGTGATATCCAGCGTTAAAACGCGTGAGTAATAATAATAATAATAATTTTATCACGATCGGATCTCGTGGAGTAATCGGCATACATTAACGTCACCGTTGACGTGAATTCGAGATTTGGAGCATCGACCGCGATAGAAACGCTCGAGCGACGAATAAGTCCGCCCGCCCGAGTTAAGTGTACACGAGTCCATACTCGAACGCGTTCGAAATGGTCATCTTCCGCTCCGGTAAACACGGCGAAATGTTGATCCATCGAATCTTGGTCAACCGGTGGGCGTAGAAGATCGTGCTTAGACTTTAGGCGTGCTCGTTTCGCGTGAAAGCCATCGATTATTCTCTTTGTATCCACTTTGGATAACTATCCTTTGTTCTTTAAAATAGAGAACCGAGAGAGGTGCAAGGGTTATAGGGAAATAAAATGATCGCGTTAAAGATGGAGGTCGAGTCCATTAATCGAAGAATTAACTATTCTGTTATAACCGGTTCGATAAATAACGAGAATTTAAATGGTCTAATTGAATTGCTGGTTTATGCTGAACGAGTTCTCAGACGTGATTTAAAAATATTTAAATGTTCTATTGTAAAATAGGTTCTCATTTCTCTCACAATCGTTCCTCGCTATTTTAATTAAATGGCTAAACTTGATCGTCAAACGAAGATTCAAAATACACATATTTCTCAAAGATTGGAAGGATTTACATCGATACATTTTTCATCGAATAATATTATATTTCCAGAACAATATATATATAAAAACGAGATCAAACGGAAGGAAAGGAGAAAAAATTTCAGAACAAAGGATTAACGCTATTCCAAGCAACTTGTCGATAGTTTTAAAAATATTTTATCGAAAGAGGCGAACACTTGGACTGAAATTGTCTCTATTTCCAGCCTTCATCTCGCAATCGAGGATGAATCAATGATTCATCCTCCGATAGACAAGACGACAGACAACTTCAGAAACTTGGAGAAACATTAACGTATAATAAAAGTTGGACTAGTTGATCGGATCGATCGACCCGCATATCGTTCTTCTCGCTGAAAAAGGGGGGGAAAAAAAACTCTTGATGGTTATACATTCTGCTGAAAAACGATGTCAGGGGTTATAGAAAGGAATCGTTTGTGCTTCGTAGACGCGTAGTAGCGCGCATCAACTATATTTAACGCATGTATTAGATCGACGAGGTTAACGATACCTCGTAAATAGCATCAAGTCTCCGATTCTATTCGTTCCAACGTGGCTCACATGGAAGGAATAATGAGAAGGAAAAAACGTAGAATCAAGAGGATCCATCATTATACAGGTACCGTAATATTTGGATATCAATTTTGTTCTTCTAGCTAGATTTTGTTGTTCTGTTAATATAATAATAGAGAATAGAGAATTTCATTTGCTCGCTAATTCACAGAAAAGAATGTTGCATAAATATACCTATTCGTTTTAGCTTTTTATCTTTGTTTGTACTACAGACTGAGTCAACAATTCTGTGATACAAATAAAATTATATTATTTCTATTATACGATAGAAATAGTTCAAATGTATCATTTCTTCCCTTCCAATATAAGATAGTATAATAAAACATGATGATCGCATAGTATTTCACTTATTTAAAAACAAAAAAGAATAAGTGATAAATAAATATGCTTCATCTGGATAAAACAAATTTCTCATATTTTATTAATATACTGCAAATATATTCCTATAAAGATTCCCCTCTAAAAGGGTTGAATAAAAGAATCGAAATATAGATCAAATCGATCGATCGTTCAAAAAGTTAATTGCAAGGTAATCCGATACGAAACTCGTTAGCGTAAGTCGATCGTTCCCAAAATCTAACAACGTCGTTCGTGCTCTCACCCCTTAATCTACAAGTTGAGAAGAAGAAACTAAGGAAAAGGAACGATTACCACTTTATTATTCGATATTATAGCTTTGTCTAAGGAACGAGGTTAATGGCTGTTGCACGCCTCGACAAAAACCGCGACGAAACTGTTCTATAGAACAGGAATCAATGCGAATCGAATTCGATACCTAATCGCGAAGTAATATTCCACGCAGCTTCGGAATCCTGCCCCACATACTGAACTTCCCCAAATGGATTCGAAGCTCGTTCTCGAACATCGGGAATCGCGCAATCTGCATTTTTCCAAGGGATTATCCCCCATGTTCCCACAATATCGCCCCCGTTTTCCACAACGTGCACGGAACACGATGATTATTATCGTTCCCTAATCGCAAACAAATTGAACGTCGACGATTCCTCGAACGATCCGTTGTTTCCACGCATGAACGGATTCCGTGCACGTTTATACATCGTACATTGGACGGAGTGAATTTATTTTACTTTGGAAGATGAGGAAAAATTCGTTTGGAAAGGGGAGGAATCGTTTTTTTTTTTCGTAAAGAATCGTGGAAAGAATATTGGCAAGTTTTGTTTCTTTAAATATCTTATTATAATAATTATTTTCTTTTTTCTGCTATTTAAATTTGAACAAGAGGGGAATTATTGTGCTTCAGTTTTTTTTTGATACGAGTTAATTAATTGTTATTACAATATTGGGGATTTTATAATGCATTTTCTTTCTATTTAAAACGTTTTTAAAATTATTTAATCCTATTTTGTAACATTCTTGATATGTTAATTGTAATAATTGAATCGAAATATCTTTTTTTTATGTGGGTGAAATGATATTAATTAAATAATGTTATTGTATAGTCTGTTTTGACATAAAAAAATATAATTTAATTTTGTTTTTTTTTTTTAATTTATTAATTCTTTCATTTATTCAAAAATATAGAAGAATATTATTCATTTGTAAGAATACATTGTACTAAAAATATTTGAGGACGAATAATTTTTAATATTATTAATATTTTTTTAATATTATTTTCTTTTATATGTAATGTAAATACTTTTTTTTATACTTCTTTTCATAATTTAGAAAGTGGAAAAATATAAAATGGAAAAAAATAAAGTTTTATAAATAGAAAGATTAAATATTTAATTAGAATTATTCAATTATAAAACAAATTTTGTTTTAATTTATATATTTTTGATAAAATATATAAATTGTTTATTAATTTTCTTTCTTTTTTTTTGATTGACAATAAATAAATAAAACTTAACTTTAATTTAAAATGATATTTTATAAGAAATTTGATTGAAGGGTGAATCTTTAAAGTTTATTGTGCTGCCATCTAGTGATACATTTACGTATTTCTCATTTAGAGATAACATCTAAAGTTTATTGTGCTGCCATCTAGTAATGAATTTACGTACTTTTAATTTTGAGATGAACTTATAAAGTTCATTGTGCTGCCATCTATTGATGAATTTTTGTATTTCCAATTTAAAGATAAACTTTTAAAGTTCATTGTGCTGCCATCTATCAAGGAATTTATGTATTTCCAATTTAAAGATAAACTTTTAAAGTTCATTGTGCTGCCATCTAGTAATGTATTAACATATTTTTATTTTAAATACAGTAGAGATAGTTATTTATATTCTTCGAACATTTATTTGGTTAGTTTACGAGTTTTTAAAGTGTATCTATTTAATGTAATAAAAATTGATGAAAAAATGAAAGTTAAAAAATGAGTGACAATCGCTTAAGAAGGCTAAATTATTTACACCATTGAAGTTTATAATCTTCTTTTAGTATTAAATGAATAAGGTAGTGAATTCAATTTTTTGTTTACACTGCTTATTGTTGTGGAGGGATGTATAAAATATTGTGTAAATACTGTATACATATAAATTTGTTGGGAGCACATAATAATTGGATTTGATTTGCTTTGGTGAAAGGAATTTAAATGGATGATGAGTGATTCTGATGATACAGATGTTTTGCTCTTAATTCCACCCGACCTATTCCTTGTACCGTCATCTTCAGAATCTGATGCTAGTTCTGATCGAATGAAAACAAATTATAGTAGTAAAAGAACTGGAGTAATATCAGAACTTGTGGAGCATATGCAATCATTAGAAAGCAGAATTTCTGCTATTGAATCCAAAGACACTAGTTTAGATGCTACTTTTCTAAATAATTCATTGGATTCACAAATTGAAAATAATTCAATTGCCAAATTTAGGCAGACATTACCTAATAAAACTAAACTTTCTGTAAGTGAGAACTGTAGCTTACAAAACACACCTGTAAAACCTCGTCAATCCTTATCTGTTCCATCAACCCCTAATGGTAATTCATTGCCAAACCGTATTAATTTTTGTCAAAATGATATAAACTTGGGGAATCATCTTTTTGTGTCTACGGCTACTAACGTAACTAATGCTAATAAACATGATGAAAATAAGCATGGTACTTTAATATCCCAGTCCTCTGTGGTGGTTTCTTCTGCTTGCAATGTGGGTTTTCCGCATGTTAATGTTACATCTTCTGGAGGGAAAACTTATTCTCATCCAGTTAATTGTAGAAATACAGATAATATATATGTTAAGCCTTCTGTCAATCAATTGCGTTCAATGCCATCTACCTCAACTTTACTTAGCACAACAGAACAACCACAGTCACGTTCTAAAACTAACATACCAGAAATGGAGCTCTCCGAAGTTGATGAGTTACTTCAAGAGATGGAGGCTACTGAATTAGAATTGTCAAAAAGGATAAACAGGGTTTCTATGCAACATTGTCTTAAGGAACAAAATAATGTATTAACTAATGATAGTAATGACAGTTTTAAGAAAGGATATAGTAATATATACAAAAATTCTGTAAATCGACGATTGGAATTTAAATCGCAAGATTCAAATGAATGTCATGATGTTTTATCAGTAAAATCTAATAAAAAATCTGATATCTTTGCTGATATATCCTTACCATACTGTGATTCATTCCATATAAATGAGACTGATAAAATGATCTCAGAATTTAAAACATGGGAGCAAAATATACAAACTCAAGTTTCAAAGATTGGAGAAGTAGAACACACAGATACAAATTCAAGCAGTATTGATAAATCAATTGTAAAAGCAAATGATGTACAAAATAAGGAAATAGTTACTCAACAAATCCCTTTAAGTATAGATAATGTAAATAATATGAATTCAATGAATGTGCATAATACTGAAGTACGTAATATGCATAAAAAGATAGATGCTTCATTGCATGATGAATCAACACAATGCAACACTGCAACATCAATAAAAAATACAGAATGTAATGTATTGCATTTGGCAGAACCTTATAAAAGTTTACAACAAAATGGAAATTTAGAACATATAAAACAAACATGTGATGTACCACTTGTTAGAAATATTGCTCATGCCTCAACAAATACAGATTTTTTATTAAGGTATTTTTTATTATAATAACTAACTAGTTATAAATATTTATATATAATTGGTGTTAAAAATTTAGTATCAGAATTAATAATAAAGTTTTATTTTTATCTTTACAGAAGAACTTTAACAAATCCCAGGCTTTTGTCACTATCAGATTTTTGGGAAAATAATGGTAACAAAACACAAGAAGAAATACATAGAATCAAGTTAGAAGAAGAAAAATTTCGACGAGAGGTATATGAAAGTTTATTACTAATGAATATGTTTAATTATAAAAAATTTCATTAGAATATTTTTTATAGCATTGTGAACATTTAATTCAAGAACTCCAAAAACGATTGTTAGAACAACAAGAGAAAGTTGCGGTGGCACTTAGAGTAGATAATGAAAAAAATGAGTTAATAGTACAATTTCATAATGCATGGTCTAAATTAAAACAAAGAGTGCATATATTAGAAAATGAATACAGTACTTTACAGACAAATTTTAAAAATGTAACAGAAAAGCATCAATTAGAGATTTCAGAATTTCAATTACAAATCAAACGATGTGAAGGCGAATTATCAAAAGCTTTAGATCTTGCAGCTGGATATAAGGAAAAAAATGATATTGCAATGAAAGAAAAAGTAGAATTATTAAAAAATCATGCCGACGAGTTGGAAAATTATAAATCATTTGTACAAGAAGCTGAAAATAGATATGAAAAATTAAAAATAGAGTATGATAAATTATTAGAAAAAAATCAACAATCTGAGGAAATATTAAAAACTCTTCAACAAGAGTTAGGAAAGGAACGATTAAAAGGTGGAGAAGTTAGAAATGAAATGGATGTTATTCATAAAGCATTAGATACTTGTGAAGCTGAATTGATTGTACTTAGGCAAGAAAAAGAAAACTTACAATTGAAACTAAGAGAAGAAAATGGTAGAAATTCAATTCTAGAACAAAAAAATGCAGCGTTACTTTCAACTCTTGATGATGTTAAGAAAGCTGAGGTAATAAAATAAATAATATTTTTCGGCATTTATAAATATTAATTTGTAATAATTTTTATAGAAATTAGCTAGAGACGAAACAAGATTTCTTGCAGAGCAAAAAGAAAAAATTAGATGTGAATTACAAGAAATTTATCAGAAACAAGTTGATGAAGTAGTAAAAGTTAAATTACAAGAGTTTCAAACTCAACTTGATGTTGCTGAATCAGAATTTCTTGAAGAATTAAAAACTAGACAACAAGTTATTGCTGAATGTGCAGCTAGAAAAATTAAAGATATTATAGATAAGTATGTTTTTTATATTCTCATGATAATTTAAAAAGAATAAAACATTTCATAAATTAATTTATATCAATTATATATAGACATAAATTAGAAATAAATTTATTGGAAGAAAAACATAAAGAAGAAAAAAGACTATGTGAGCTTCAATTAGCAGAAGCTTTGCAGAAGTCGTCGTTCTTAGAATCGCAACTTAATTCTCAACGTGCTACTAAATCTCAGCTTGCAGAACAGCTTCACTCAGTAATGCAAAATCAATGGCAACAAGCTTTACAAATTATATCAGGTAGAATTTTTTTAATTTATTATTTATATAATAAATTGTCATTAATTTTGTCATTAACAAACTCAATATATATTTAATATATATTTATAGGTGGAAATATGGAAAATTTGACACCGCTTCAAAAAATCCATGCTGAAAAATTATTCGAATTAAGAAGTCCAAAAAAATCTGAATCGATGCCAAATTGTTATACAAAGATTTCTCAAGAACCAATAAAATTAACTTCGCACGTATCAGATCTAAGAAAATTTTGTGATCAAAACGAATGTATGAATACATCAATTGATGAAACCCCATTAAGTAGTAGAAAAGAATCAAAAGATGATCTCCGAAAATATGTGAAAATGGTTAGTTACTATTTGATTTTAGCATATATATAAATAATTTAAGATTTGATATTTTATAGATTGCCGAAATGCAAAAAGCAAATGAAGAATTTTCAAAAATTACGGGAAGTATTTCTAGTCCATCTTTAACATGTAGAGAAGTACCAAGAAAACATTATTTGAGAAAGGAATGTGATATTAGAGATGAAAATCATATTGAATGGCAATCTGTATCAAAAGTAAGCAAATTTATTTTGTTATTTTAAAGTAATTAATTAATATTATATTTTGTTTTCCTTATATATTATAAACTTAGGAAACTACTGAATTCATTCCAATTTCACAAAAGATATCTACAAAAGGAGAGCAACAGAAAATTAAACCTCCATGGAAATGATTTTACATATATAATGATATATTGTAGATCAATTCATAAAGTGGACCATATTAAAATCGTGACTATACAGTGCATTTAATTAGACATATTTAAAATGTATTAAAAAAATATTTTTTACACAAATGAAATATATTTTTCATTTTTAATTATGCTATTGTGTCCTTATATAATATTTTCATATATGATAATTTTTTTCTTTTTTTACACTTATATAATTATAACATTAATTATTTTATTCCGATTATAATTCAAAGGAAAAGGATGTTCGATAAAAAAACTTGATGATAAGGCGCGTATCTTTTTCGTCAAATCAGTGTTATATACACTCGTTAAAATCATTTTCTATTATATCTTGTTGTACTATTCTATAATATTTGAATAAAAAATTATTTTTTATAAAGTTGCAATAAAATAATACGAATTATTGATAAATATATCGATAAATATATCGATAAAATGTTTATCTTTGATAATATTTAATGTATTAATTCGTTATGACCATTCTGGACATCGCCTATTCTATAAGGTTATTGTCAATCTTTGCAAGTTTGGAAATATTAGTCATGAAAATAAAGATACACGGAAGTTTAAAATTGTTTGAACACAGATAATACTTTTCAATTTTTGTATATTATGATTCATAGTTATCCTTGATAAAAAACAACCAATTTTGGAACAAAAACAGATATGGGAATTTAGTTTGAACAATTCTATAAACTATTTGAAAGAATACTTGTAATGTTACATCACGTATTTCATGAATCATATAAATGAAACATGATTTATTTCAAACACGTTTTCGTGCGACGAGGTGGTATGTCGAAGTTATTCAGTGAACTGTTACTATTGTCACTGAATTATTTATTGACAACGATTCTTGAATAGTGAATGTGAAAGAGAAGAACATAATGTACAAGTCTAAAAATGCATATTAATTAAATGTACGTCAATTTATATGGCAATTAAGATACATTTATCACAATGAAAAAATACTGTGATTAATGAATTGATGCGTTTAATGAATTCTTTTAAGACCGTTTTCATGCAATGAATTGTGCTTATTGAACATATTATTTTATTAACACAATTACTTTATTACTTTTTAATTTTAACTAAATTTTTTAAATATAGTATCTCATGTAATATTCGTTATTTCCTTTTTAAATTAATAATTTTTATATAAGCAAATTTAAAAAAAATTCATTTTTATTCAATACTTTCATAGTATTATTTTGTGTAAAATTGCATTAATATCTAATCATCCAATCGTATTCAAAACAGTGAAAGATATTGCCGATACCGAATACGATATAAATCATATGAAATATGAAAACTGAATCGACTGAATTTTAATTGTTTAAATTTAATATTATTTTTTATCATATAAAACTAAACATCTTTATAAATCATACTATAATATTCAAAATTTTGAAAATTCACTGAAAATGGAATATAATTTATCACGTATCTAGATATATACACATACTTACATAATTTCTTTCTCTTTTCTTTTTTTTTTTATTAACATTTAATTTCAATCTCAGTGAAGACACTATTCTGCAAAAGATTTTACACTTATTACAATATCCTTTCTTAAAATCAATTACATTACATTTATCTTAGATACGAAATTACGCGTATTTCAACAAATAAAAATTTTCTCTCCCTTCTTTCTCTCACGTTCAGAAAAGAAAATCCGATAAAACTATCTCGGTTACGAAATACACGCATATATCGATCACCATTGCTCACCGGGCCGGATATAAAGCTCCGGCGAACATTGGTTTACCTTGAACACACGAGCGTCGTGTAAAAAACCGCGAAGAGGCTCGTATATAGGATAGTAAGCGGGACGAGGTGGTCTAACAGTCGATGCCCTTCTTTAGCCGTGACGGCGATCACGCCTACGATCAACAGAGTCCTGGTGGAGCCTGGGCTGGCGCCAGTTACGAGGATCGTACGTACGCGCGACGTACGGAAACAAGTTGCCGATTGAAAACGGAAGAGTGGAAGAATGCGAAGGGAGGAACGTGATAGTGGCCACCCCCTCTCGGTTTTGTCAAGATAGTGGTAGCCACGAGCGCGTCCGCTCTTCATTCTGCCCGCCTCGGTGGCCTTTAGTCGACCAGGCGAACCTATCGAGCGAAGAAGTAAGAGAAGCACCGCGTGTGTGCCAACCGGATAGAGGCGAGGTTGAATGTGACCGAGAGAAATGCAGCCCGGAACGAAGCGTGCGAGATTCTGTTCCACGATAATAGCGCTACTGTTCCTCATCGGTTGTAACGTGGACGCTACGTGGAAGAGGCGGGAGGACAAGACCAAGTGTCCTAAAGTAAAGGGAATCAGAAATTTTGACATATCCGAGGTACGTTCTTCGCGATGTAGTCATTGTTCCGTTATTATTATTGATTGATTGATGGTAATTCTGGTTGATGAATTCTTTGTGAATGGATTTATATAGTTGCAGTGCGGGTGTTGATTTGTGATTTTCTTTAAGTTTGTTTGCTTGCTTGTTGAATTAGAATCAATGTGGTGTGCAATGTGCTTGTTGTAAATTGAAAAATGAAATGGAAATAGGATAGGTAATGTGGATCTTTGAAGAATTTTCGAGATTATTGTATTTGTTTTTTTTTTTCTAAATAACAATGAAAAGTATATATGACTATATATAACAAAAAAAATAATCAATGTGATCATATTAAATGTCTTTATGATTCTGCATCTTCTTTATCTTTATAAAAAATAATAATTAATTTTCATCAAAGGAAAACATATATAAATCATTATTTTGATAAATTCTAGTTCAAAATCTGAAGATCAATTTTCTAAAATCGATTTAGTTTTTTTAATTACCTAATAAATAAATTAACAACCTGTTTTAGACAATTTTAATAAAAATGAATTAGAAAATGCAAAAGTATGCGACGTACAGATTCAAAGTGTAATAAATTGATAAAAGAGTATAATAATAATTATTGATATCTTCTTGCACAGCGAGAAGCTTCATTGTGATCAAATATAGCAAGTTAGCAACATGTTAATATAGATAATCAACTGCTGAATTTTCTCTAATTGCTTCGACAGAATCATTGAACATCGAGCTGCGTGTATCTCGTTGATATTCTGATTTCATAAATAGACGATCACGACGGATATCCGATCAATATGCACGATGAATATATAATAATAATTGTAGGGAACGCAATTGGAACGCGTTTGTTGAATTCTCCCGATTGGAATGAGAATAACAGAAATTACAATTTCCTCGTGGCATTGCGGTATGATTTTAACATCACAAAAGAAGATGTTTAGCGTCTACAATTCATTTGAACGAAAGTTCTTCGATATTTAATCGAAGAAATTTAGTCAAACGTAAACTTCATTGTAATTTTCGTGTTTCCACCAGTGAGTGTTTCTCAACTTACGTATCATATATCGATGTAAAATAATGTAAAATGCGTGATATTTATTAATATTTGTAATTAATGACGAGTTGATCAACACGAGTATCAAAAATTATTATTAATTACAAGTGTGAATGGTCTTTTGTTGATATTTTTACATTATTTTTTCTTAAATAAACAAATCGACAAACAAGTTGACTTGACAACAATTTTGAGAACCGATATCTCGAGGAATTTTATTCTGTAAGATTGCAGTTACAGAAGGGGAAGACAAGGACCTCGCATAAAATATCGCGAGTTTCTTTCAAAGGAAGACTCCAGGCAATTTATTTTTGGAACTTTATGCGTGTTTAAAGGAAGGCTATTTCGGACATACTTTGTGTGCATATAAAACTGCTCACTTCCATTGAACCTTTCTGTATATTTCTGTTATATTTATTATTTTAGATAGAATCTTATTTCTCTGTCTTTCTTTTTTTTAATTTTGGCAACTTTATCATATGATTTACTTGATTTCATTGTTTTATTTATCATTGTATTTGAGTTTATATGATCTAATCATATATATATCTTGAAATCAATATATCTTATTTGCATTAAATGTAGGAATTATATTATTGTTATTTGATCTTTGATTTTATTTATTTTTACGTTTGTTAATTTTTTTCATTAGATTACTGATAGATTCTGATAGATAATAATAATTATATGGAAGACATCAACTTTTACAGAGATAATAGAAGGATGAATGAAATGTAATGAGATTAGGAAAAAAGTTTTATTATTTTTGTCTCTTTCTTTTCTCTTTTCATTTAAAACAAAAGATTTACTCTTCATTATGTGATTTTTTATAATTTCTTAATGCTGTTATTGAAAATCTATTAGTTTTTGAAATATAAAAGAAACTTTTCGCAATCTTAGATTCTTATTTATAGTAAACTATTGTTGACTGACAACATATGAGATAATTATTTTTTCTTATTCTAACCTTGGAATTCTCTTTTCAGATAGGCAATGAACTGAATCGTTCAGCTTCATTGATAACCCAAAAACCACTCACGCTATGCTTATTCTCTTAGTCAATTTTCAAACTCTAGATACACACTATCTCATCAATGCTTCCTGACAGAACTAATCTCATAGAATTCACATTAAATAAATTCTAAAATAAATGTCACATATAAGTTTCAACGACATAACACCAATATTCTATGACATCGAGGATTAAAAGTTACTCGAAAAAAGTAATCTAATTTTTTTGCATTAATCAAAATTATTAAAAAAGGAAAAGAAAAGAAAAAAACAAACTTTGAATATTTGATGCTTGGAAAAAGTCAAGAACGAAGAAGAAGTGTGAATTTTTACCCTTCGTTCACGACGTGTTAATATCGACATGGAGCTGAAATAATGATAATCAAGACAGAGATGGATGATGGATCGTCGTGCAAGAGGATGAATACACGAGAGGTAGAAAGGGAGATAGTTTTGCATTGCATGCCAAACTAAATGACAGTCCGCGGCAACGATTGCATGACCTGCCTCACGTAAAAACCTCTCTGCAGCATTTACACGAGACTGGGATACCGAATTTTCCACTTTCGCATAAATCACTCGTACAATAGACCATCTATCGCCATCGTTCGAAATATAAGAGTTATTTTTGAATAGAGGAGATGACTTAAACATTCGACTTGATAAACGTAATAATAAAACTAAAACGTGTATACAAAAATGGGAAATTGTTT